CGCGCGGCGCCGGTGGAGATAGTTAAAGTAGGGATAAAAAACCACCCATCTATAAAAGGTTGCCAAGGTTGAGAAACACTGTCCTAGATGCTCCAAAGGACAGGAAAGCAGCGCAGAGCTCATTCCTAACTCCAGAAAGGAAATGCTAGTTAGGGAGCCGATATCTAAAAATCAGGATAGGCCATTTTATGATTCAGCCTCCAGATGGGCAGAGGCAACGTCCCAGATACAGGCCACCTGACCAGTAGCACCAGAGGAAAAAGGAGACTGGCACATCAATTTTGGGAAGGGGGGGAAGGGGTGCAGCAAGGCACCCTTTTCACCAACTTCTTTGTGGCTTAGAGAATCGCTTGAGGTCAGTGTCCTTGGGTGTCTACTGAGAAGGTCCCCCACCTAGCCCTCTCACATGCAAGCTGCATAGAGAACATCATAGATCCTAGAGTTGCAGGTGATCAAAAATTGAAAGGTAAATTGAAACCTGAAGCAACTAGTTTCCAGATCCCTTCTGTTTGCTCTCGTGAGACAGCATCCATTCTGGTTAACATCCATCATCTCCCCTAATTACCTTCAACTACATTTTTGCATAACTCCCTTCTCCTGAAAGGGTTCTCTTTCTTAGTTCATGGCCAAGCTGTGCAGAACACCAATTTAGCACCAATGTTGTTAATCTGGATAGTTTTAGCTGAGGGAGCATGCTCTTACCCCTGATAAGTGCATTTATGTTCGCCCTGCCTCCCCCACACAAAAAACCTGGCTCCCTGCACACAATATTTTAATGCACTTGAAAAGACCACAAATGCATACTGCAGTCTTTTAGCAGGTTCCTTCCACTGTGCTGCTTCAAGCAAATGTGTTTATCTTATAAACATTTTGGTTACCCCAGAACATTTATTTCCCTTTTGCTGGCAAAGCTACTTTCTAAAAGCACTGATTCAGTTTTACAAAAGCCAGCAATAGGGAGTAGATTGAGGGTTCTCTTTAGAAATATCAGAAAGTACAAAAAGAAGTCTTGAGGCACTGAAAGGGGGTTTAGGATGCTAACTGGTGCTCAGTCCCACTGGAGCTCTGATTAATGCCCGTTTGGCAAAAAATGGTTCCTACCTGTATTGAATGTGACATTAATGTTGTTTGTAAAAACTAAGAGCACACTGTGGTTGAACCTGGAAATCCATCTGTTATTCCAATGCAGCATAACAATGGAAATTTCATCAGTAATAAACAATAATAATAAGCAGGCTGCATCTCTGGTATCTTCACTTTTGGTGGAAAGTTCCACAACTGAAATATTTTACAAAAACACCACAATAAATTCATGGAAAATGCTTGGTACGTTATAACTGTACCACTCACAAATTGTTATTCAGCCATTTCTTCTGCCCCGCGCTCTGTTTATGAAGCAGTTTCCCCAAGAAAGATTATATTCAGTGAATCTCTTGCAACTTCTGTATAGCTTTAAAGTTACCTACGGGCTGATTGTATCTTTCCCGCTGAGCCCAGTGACTTGAATTATCTTGTGCAACTCATATTGAGTCTAGACCCAGTTGTCCCAGGCTGTTGCCAGAGTGGGAATCAGTATATTTGATTTAGAAAGCCACCTAATTCCATAAGACTCTGGGCTGTGTACAAAAATAATAAAAACAGTAAAAATAATCATGTAAATCTGGAAAAGGCCATTCCTCAAACTGATGAAGTTCTGTAAGAGCCTTGTCGCCCGCCCTCAGCCAAGGCTTGGGAGAACAGTCAGGTTTTCAAGGATGTTTGGAGCATCATCAGGGTCAGAGCCATATGGATTTCTGGGGAGACGCTTTTTCAACAGGCAGGTGCTGAGAGCTGTGTTTCCTAGGTCCCATAAGACGACACTGCTTAATTGATGGGATGCAGAGCGTATCCATTCTGCCTGATTTTATTCAGCAGGCAGAAACAATTTCAGATAGGTGGTCCCTCGAATAACCAGCCCGAATGCCATGAAGGATTTATAGGTGATAACTGGCACCTTAAACTGCATCTGGAACCCAACTGGCAACCAGTGCAGCTCACAGAGGAGTAGTGTCACATGGGCTTACCATGGCATGCCCATTACTGTTGACACCACTGCATTCTGGACCAGCTGTGGCTTCTGAGTGGTCTTCAAAGGCAGCCCCCTGTAAAGCGCATTGCAATAGCCTATTCATGAGGTGACTGGGGCATGAGCGACTATCTAGAGGTCCTCCTGATCCAGGAACGGGCCCAACCACCACATGAGATAAATCTGAGCAAAGGCCTTCTCGGCCACAGCCACCACCTGCTCCTCAAGCAGAAGCTGAAATGCAGAAAGAGCCCCACTTCTCCAAGTAGAGAAAAGTTTTCACTCATACCTGGAGAGAAAGGGGTCCTTTGAACAGGCTAGAGAAAGGCCAGGGCTTTTGGGAAGGGATATCAACCAAGGCAGAGTGACTTTTGCTTCAGCAACAGTGGGTGCCTTGCTTGTTCTTGCTCTTTAGAAGGGGAGAAGCACATGTTCGCTAGCGTTGCCGGCAGGCCTCCAGGTTTCGGTTTACTATCTCTGTCCACAAAAGCTACTGAGTGAAGCTGTGAGCTCCGTACTTGCGCTCAAACTGGCCAACATCGAACTTCCTCTTGCAACCGGCATAATTCATGTAGCGGATCTTGCCAAACACGGCCCGTTCAGCCCATCCTTGGTCATGGATCCCACAAATAGACCACATGCAGCCTAGCAGAGACAGAAAACAAGACTAGAAAGATCTATCCAGGCTAAGTGACATGGTCTAAATATATGTATGTATGCACACGATCAGCACCCTGAAGGATTTCTAAGAGACCCGGCTGCATGTCCCATTCCTCATTTGGAAGTAGTGCAATCAAATGAATAACCAGGAGGCTGTGGAAAGAGGCCTTTGAGGCAAATCCAAAACTTATGAAACCACATGTATTATGCATCTCATTCTAGTCTCTGGTGTGGGTTTGGGTTTACAGGTAGACCTTGCTTAATGATTGCCCTGTTTAGCAACTGTTCAAAGTTTCAACAGCACTGAAAAAGTAACTTCATGACTAGTCCTCGCATGACGGTGTCCCTGCAGTCACGTGATCGTGATTCGGGTGCTTTGCAACCAGCAAGCATTTATCACCATTGCAACGTCCCATGGTCACGTGATCGCCATTTGTAAGTTTCACAGCCAGCTTCCAACAAGCGGAGTCAATGGAGAACTTGGCAGTAAAATTGCAAGTTGTGGTCGCATGACATCTCACTTAATGACTGTGGTGGAAGTGAGATCATAAGCCCATTGTGGTCACATGATGTCTCGCTTAACAACCATGTTGATTAGTGATGGAGTTGCCGGTTCCAACTGTGGTCGTTAAGCAAGGACTACCTGTAATCTAAGTCCGGGAGAATAGAAAGTACGGCAATGTAGAAGGACAAATTCTATTCTTGTTCACTGTCCATCCACTTCTGAGTGTCAAAGATCCTTCTAGGTCAGTGTTTCTCAACCTTAGCAACTTTAAGATGTGTGGACTTCAGCTCCCAGACTTCCCCAGCCACTGAAGTTGAAGTCCACGCATCTTAAAGTTGCTAACGTTGAGAAACATTGTTCTAGATCACAAGCCAGCTTCAACACATAATTGTCAGTTGGTCTCTTCTTCCCACATCCTAAAGAATCCAGGAGAGGGATTCCACTTCTATGCTAGAGAATCCAGAAGAGGGAAGGGGAATTGGGGCCTAGATCACGGGATCTTTGAAACAGAGAGTTATAAAATCGACGATTGGTTGTATCTTTTTTTTTGTCCCATACGGAGAAAAGTTCTACCCAATGTGGGAGAGAGAAACCAAAAGGCTACCGTGGTGGGTACTTTCCCTGAATTTGTTTGATGACCTCCCAGCCTCTCCATTACTGACCTACATATCCGTTGGGGTCTCGGCCATCCAGTTCATAGCGGTCATTCAGGTAGATGCTGAACTGTAGGGCCTCCTCTGGGGACCTGGTCCACTCCAAGATTTTCTTGGCCCAATACATGCGCAGGAAGCCGTGCATCTTCCCATCCTGAACCATCTGGAGCTGAGATGGAGGGTGGGGAAGGATTGGTGAACCATAGAGACCTCACATTTCCTTGGAGAAAATTGGAGTCACTTGGGAACACATTTAGAATCACAGAATCCTAGGGTTGGAAGGGACCTTCAAGGTCTTTCAGGCTAACTCTCTGCTCAGGGCAGGAATCTTCAGATCATCCCAGATAAATGGCCATCCCATCTTTGTTTGAAAAGTCCAGTGATGGAGCCCCACAGCTCCAGTAGGGTTTAACACTGCTTAATAGCTCCCACTTTCAAGAAAATCCTCCTTATTTTAAGTTTGGATCTCCCTCTGAAAAGCTTCCATCCACTGGTTCTTGTCCTACCCTTGGGCACTCTAGAATATAAATCCACCCCCTTTCCCTGGGATATCTCTTCAAGTCTTCAAGCCTCAAGACTGCTATCACATTTCCCCTAGCCCCTCAGCTGCTCTTCTCTGCACTCTTTCTAGTTCCTCAACAAGAAGGAAACTATACTCAATTTATCAAATACTTTAATGAAGTCTAAGTACACTACATCCACAGCATGCCCTTGGTCTACTAATCTAGTCACTTTGTCAAAGAAACCAGTAAGATTTGTCTATCGCAACTTATTTTTAACAAACCATTACTGGATTCTTCTAATTATCTTGTTCCCTTCTACATGCTTGCACATCCACTGCTTGATTATCTTTCTAGGATTTTCCCTGGTATTGATGTCAATCTGATTGGTCTGTGGCTGGAATGCATAAACATAGTAAGCTCACTCCCTCTGAGTCCTTTGGAATCACCTTCTTGTTCCCCACAGTGTCCAAGAAGATGCTCCAGAGGAACTGGCCATCAACTTCTTAGATGTCCCACCTACAACTGACTTTATAAGCCTTCTGTATAAATGTGCCCCTGTCTTCTTCTGAAAGCATCCAAGCTACAGGCTACCAGCACATATAATGATAAAGATGTGCCCAAGTTAACTAGATACAGGTAGTCCTTGTTTAACAACCACAATAGGGACCAGAAAATTTGTTGTTAAGCGGGACGGTTACATGAATTGTGCCCAATTTTACAACCTTTTTTTGCAATGGTCATTA